GGTATCCGACTACTTGCGACAACTTTTTTGAAAAAATGGAAATATGAGGATTTTTTGTGATTTCTAGAATTATTTAGTATATTTTAAGGAAAAAATCTTAAAATTGAAAGCAGAAAAAAAATTGTATTATTATTAAAATGAGAAAAACTGGTAAAAATGTACAAAAAATTACATAAACGGGGCCCGCTCTGTACAAAATTTTTATGAGAAAATTCTCAATTTTTCAATTTTGATGTGCTACTTTATTATTCGTGTTTGAAATGACCTTCAGGATAAGAGATATTTCAATTTTTACAAAACCTAGAGCACCTTATCTTAGTGATTATACGAAATTTCTTAAAAAGAAAGTGATTATATCCACATAAAGGACTATAAATTTTAAAATAAAGCAGCGATTGATAAATCTGAAGATCAAAACACATCTACTGTTATGCATAACATACACAAGAAATTTCAGCAAATTGTTTTCAAAACTTTTTGAGCAATCGCTGTCCCCGTTTGAACTTTTCGCAAAAACACATTTCGAGTAAAACGCATTTTAAAGTTTGTCATCTTGTGTAAAGTTATGGCATCTGTTTTTACTAAAACACTTGTAATTTTGTTCTAGTGAATGGAAAATAAAAACTTGGTATTTTTATTAAGCTTATATGATGACCTATAAAATAAAATCATAAACAAAATTTGTCAATTTTTGAAAAAATCAGGATTTTAGGGTAGTCGGATACCTTAATATTTGTAAAAAAAACTGTATTAGCATCTTTATTATTCGTGTTTGAAATGACCTTCAGGATAAGAGAATATTTCAATTTTTACAAAACCTAGAGCACTTTATCTTAGTGATTATACGAAATTGCTTAAAAAGAAAGTGACTATATCCACATAAAGGACTGTAAATTTTAAAATAACTGTTTACTAGACAGGCGCTTTTTGTAACCAACTAAGCCACGGCGCCATCGAACTTTGTTCATGTTTTTGCGTCAGATAATCTGGAAATAAAGAGAATTGCTCGGGAAAATATAATTCAAAAAGAAATATTCCGAATTTTTTCTCAAAAAATTGTTTAGAAAAACTATCTTCTCCTTTCTAAGTTGTATCGTATTGCACGATAAGTATTGGAAAAAGTGTTCTTTTGAATACAATGGTATTTGCAAACGAAACACCACTAATTTGTGTCAATACTAAAATTAAAGCTCTTTAAGGAAAGGATGAGATTCAAACTCAAGATTTCCTGTGTACTTGACACGCGTCTTAACCAACTAAGACACGGCGCCTGCGATCAACATGCAGGTTGTGAGTCTGCTAATTATAAATAAAAAGAATTGCTCCAAAAATAATTCAAAAGAGGGTTTTAGAACTTTTCTGAAAAATTGCATTGAAAAAGTGTCCTTTCCCTTCTAATTTGTTCGTACTGCAAGCTTCGCATTCGAAACAACGTTTTTTTTAAATTCAAAGACATTAGTTAACGAATCACGACAGATTTCTATCAATACAAAATTTAACGTTCTTTACTAAGGCACCGACGAGATTCGATCTCGTGATCTCCTGTTTACTAGACAGGCACTTTAACCGACTAAGCCACGGCGCCTGCGATCGACATGTATGTTGTGAGTCTGCTAATTATAAATAAAATGAATTGCTCCAGAAATAATTCAAAAGACGGTTCCTGAAATTTTTTCAAAATTTGCATTCATAAACTATACTCTCCCTTCTAAGTTGTTTCGTATTCCACGCTTAGCATTAGGAACAATGTTTTTCTAAATTCAATGACATTAGTTAACGACCCCGACCGATTTGTATGAATACAAAGTTTAAAGTTCTTTACTAAGGCACCGACGAGATTCGAACTCGCGAATTTCTGTTTACAAGACAATCTCTTTAACCAACTGAGCCACGGCGCCTGCGAACTACATATATGTTAGGAATCTGCTAATCATAAATAAAGAGAATTGCTCGAAAATAAATCAAAAGATGGTTGCTGAACTTTTCAAAACTTGTATTGATAAACTATACCCTCCCTTCTAAGTTATTCCGTAATGCAAGCCTAGCATTAGAAACAATATTTTCTAAATACAATGACATGAGTGAAAAAACCACCACTGATTTGTAACAATACAAAATTTAAAGCTAGTTAAGAAGGCACCGACGAGATTCGAACTCGTGATCTCCTGTTTACTAGACAGGCGCTTTAACCAACTTAGCCACGGCGCCTGCGAACTACATACATGTTAGAATCTGCTAATCATAAATAAAGAGAATTGCTCCGAAAATAAATCAAAAGATGGTTGCTGAACTTTTCTCAAAACTATACCCTCCCTTCTAAGTTATTTCGTAGTGCAAGCTTAGCATTAGAAACAATGTTTTTCTAAATACAATGACATGAGTGAACGAACCACCACTGATTTGTAACAATACAAAATTTAAAAGCTATTTAAGAAGGCACCGACGAGATTCGAACTCGTGATCTCCTGTTTACTAGACAGGCGCTTTAACCAACTAAGCCACGGCGCCATCGAACTTTGTTCATGTTTTGCGTCAGATAATCTGTAATAAAGAGAATTGCTCGGAAAATATAATTCAAAAGAAATATTCCGAATTTTTCTCAAAAATTGTTTAGAAAACTATCTTCTCCTTTCTAAGTTGTATCGTATTGCACGATAAGTATTGGAAAAAGTGTTCTTTTGAATACAATGGTATTTGCAAACGAAACACCACTAATTTGTGTCAATACTAAAATTAAAGCTCTTTAAGGAAAGGATGAGATTCAAACTCAAGATTTCCTGTGTACTTGACACGCGTCTTAACCAACTAAGACACGGCGCCTGCGATCAACATGCAGGTTGTGAGTCTGCTAATTATAAATAAAAAGAATTGCTCCAAAAATAATTCAAAAGAGGGTTTTAGAACTTTTCTGAAAAATTTCATTGATAAAGTGTCCTTTCCCTTCTAATTTTTTCGTACTGCAAGCTTCGCATTCGAAACAACGTTTTTTTTTAAATTCAAAGACATTAGTTAACGAATCACGACAGATTTGTATCAATACAATATTTAAAGTTCTTTACTAATGCACCGACGAGATTCGAACTCGTGATCTCCTGTTTACTAGGCAGGCTCTTTAACCGACTAAGCCACGGCGCCAGCGATCAACATGTATGTTGTGAGTCTGCTAATTATAAATAAAATGAATTGCTCCAGAAATAATTCAAAAGACGGTTCCTGAAATTTTTTCAAAATTTGCATTCATAAACTATACTCTCCCTTCTAAGTTGTTTCGTATTCCACGCTTAGCATTAGGAACAATGTTTTTCTAAATTCAATGACATTAGTTAACGACCCCGACCGATTTGTATGAATACAAAGTTTAAAGTTCTTTACTAAGGCACCGACGAGATTCGAACTCGCGAAATTTCTATTTACAAGACAATCTCTTTAACCAACTGAGCAACGGCGCCTGCGAACTACATATATGTTAGGAATCTGCTAATCATAAATAAAAAGAATTGCTCGAAAATAAATCAAAAGATGGTTGCTGAACTTTTCTCAAAACTTGTATTGATAAACTATACCCTCCATTCTAAGTTATTCCGTAATGCAAGCCTAGCATTAGAAACAATATTTTTTTAAATACAATGACATGAGTGAAAAACCACCACTGATTTGTAACAATACAAAATTTAAAGCTAGTTAAGAAGGCACCGACGAGATTCGAACTCGTGATCTCCTGTTTACTGGACAGGCGCTTTAACCAACTTAGCCACGGCGCCTGCGAACTACATATATGTTAGAATCTGCTAATCATAAATAAAGAGAATTGCTCGAAAATAAATCAAAGATGGTTGCTGAACTTTTCTCAAAACTATACCCTCCCTCCTTCTAAGTTATTTCGTAGTGCAAGCTTAGCATTAGAAACAATGTTTTTCTAAATACAATGACATGAGTGAACGAACCACCACTGATTTGTAACAATACAAAATTTAAAGCTATTTAAGGTATCCGACTGCGACAACTTTTTTTTTTTTTTTTGATAAATATGAAAATTTTTTTTTGATTTTTAAATTTATTTAGTATATTTTAAGGAAAAATCTTAAAATTGAAAACAAAAAAATTTATTTTATTAAAAATGGGAAAAACTGGTAAAAATGTACAAAAAATTACATAAACGAACTCAAAATTTTTATGAGAAAATTCTGCAATGTTTTCAATTTTTGATGTGTTACTTTATTATTCGTGTTTGAAATGACCTTCAGGATAAATATTTCAATTTTTTACAAAACCTATTTATCTTAGTGATTATACGAAATTGTAAAGAAAGTTATATCCACATAAAGGACTGTAAATTTTTAAAAAAAAGCAGCGATTGATAAATCTGAAAATAAACACTTCTACTGTTATACATAACATACACAAAAATTTCTAAAATTTTCAAAACTTTTTGAGCAATCGCTGTCCCCGTTTGAACTTTTCGCAAAAAACACATTTCGAGAAAACAATTTAAAGTTTGTCATCTAAATACAATTCTGCTTTTACTAAAACACTTGTTACGAAATGGACCATAAAAACTTGATTTTTATTAAGCTTATATGATGGCCTATAAATTTAAAGCTATTGATTTTAAGAATTAAGCACCGACGAGATTCGAACTCGTGATCTCCTGTTTATTAGACAGGCGCTTTAACCAACTAAGCCACGGCGCCATCGAACTTTGTTCATGTTTTGCGTCAGATAATCTGAAATAAAGAGAATTGCTCGGAAAATATAATTCAAAAAGAAATATTCGAATTTTTCTCAAAATTGTTTAGAAAAACTATCTTCTCCTTTCTAAGTTGTATCGTATTGCACGATAAGTATTGGAAAAAGTGTTCTTTTGAATACAATGGTATTTGCAAACGAAACACCACTAATTTGTGTCAATACTAAAATTAAAGCTCTTTAAGGAAAGGATGAGATTCAAACTCAAGATTTCCTGTGTACTTGACACGCGTCTTAACCAACTAAGACACGGCGCCTGCGATCAACATGCAGGTTGTGAGTCTGCTAATTATAAATAAAAAAGAATTGCTCAAAAATAATTCAAAAGAGGGTTTTAGAACTTTTCTGAAAAATTGCATTGATAAAGTGTCCTTTCCCTTCTAATTTTTTTTCGTACTGCAAGCTTCGCATTCGAAACAACGTTTTTTTAAATTCAAAGACATTAGTTAACGAATCACGACAGATTTGTATCAATACAATATTTAAAGTTCTTTACTAATGCACCGACGAGATTCGAACTCGTGATCTCCTGTTTACTAGACAGGCGCTTTAACCGACTAAGCCACGGCGCCTGCGATCGACATGTATGTTGTGAGTCTGCTAATTATAAATAAAACGAATTGCTCCAGAAATAATTCAAAAGACGGTTTCTGAATTTTTTTCAAAATTTGCAGTCATAAACTAAACTCTCCCTTCTAAGTTGTTTCGTATTCTACGCTTAGCATTAGGAACAATGTTTTTCGAAATTCAATGACATTAGTTAACGAACCACGACCGATTTGTATGAATACAAAGTTTAAAGTTCTTTACTAAGGCACCGACGATATTCGAACTCGCGAATTTCTGTTTACTAGAGCATCTCTTTAACCAACTAAGCCACGGCGCCTGCGAACTACATATATGTTAGGAATCTGCTAATCATAAATAAAGAGAATTGCTCCGAAAATAATTCAAAAGATGGTTGCTGAACTTTTCTCAAAACTATACCCTCCCTTCTAAATTATTTCGTAGTGCAAGCCTAGCATTAGAAACAATGTTTTTTTTAAATTCAAAGACATTAGTTAACGAATCACGACAGATTTGTATCAATAGAATATTTAAAGTTCTTTACTAATGCACCGACGAGATTCGAACTCGTGATCTCCTGTTTACTAGACAGGCGCTTTAACCGACTAAGCCACGGCGCCTGCGATCTGTATTTGTGAGTCTGCTAATTATAAATAAAATGAATTGCTCCAGAAATAATTCAAAAGACGGTTCCTGAAATTTTTTTCAAAATTTGCATTCATAAACTATACTCTCCCTTCTAAGTTGTTTCGTATTCCACGCTTAGCATTAGGAACAATGTTTTTCTAAATTCAATGACATTAGTTAACGACCCCGACCGATTTGTATGAATACAAAGTTTAAAGTTCTTTACTAAGGCACCGACGAGATTCGAACTCGCGAATTTCTGTTTACAAGACAATCTCTTTAACCAACTGAGCCACGGCGCCTGCGAACTACATATATGTTAGGAATCTGCTAATCATAAATAAAGAGAATTGCTCCGAAAATAAATCAAAAGATGGTTGCTGAACTTTTCTCAAAACTTGTATTGATAAACTATACCCTCCCTTCTAAGTTATTCCGTAATGCAAGCCTAGCATTAGAAACAATATTTTTCTAAATACAATGACATGAGTGAAAAACCACCACTGATTTGTAACAATACAAAATTTAAAGCTAGTTAAGAAGGCACCGACGAGATTCGAACTCGTGATCTCCTGTTTACTGGACAGGCGCTTTAACCAACTTAGCCACGGCGCCTGCGAACTACATACTTGTTAGGAATCTGCTAATCATAAATAAAGAGAATTACCCGAAAATAAATCAAAAGATGGTTGCTGAACTTTTCTCAAAACTATACCCTCCCTTCTAAGTTATTTCGTAGTGCAAGCTTAGCATTAGAAACAATGTTTTTCTAAATACAATGACATGAGTGAACGAACCACCACTGATTTGTAACAATACAAAATTTAAAGCTATTTAAGAAGGCACCGACGAGATTCGAACTCGTGATCTCCTGTTTACTAGACAGGCGCTTTAACCAACTAAGCCACGGCGCCATCGAACTTTGTTCATGTTTTGCGTCAGATAATCTGTAATAAAGAGAATTGCTCGGAAAATATAATTCAAAAGAAATATTCCGAATTTTTCTCAAAAATTGTTTAGAAAAACTATCTTCTCCTTTCTAAGTTGTATCGTATTGCACGATAAGTATTGGAAAAAGTGTTCTTTTGAATACAATGGTATTTGCAAACGAAACACCACTAATTTGTGTCAATACTAAAATTAAAGCTCTTTAAGGAAAGGATGAGATTCAAACTCAAGATTTCCTGTGTACTTGACACGCGTCTTAACCAACTAAGACACGGCGCCTGCGATCAACATGCAGGTTGTGAGTCTGCTAATTATAAATAAAAGAATTGCTCCAAAAATAATTCAAAAGAGGGTTTTAGAACTTTTCTGAAAAATTGCATTGATAAAGTGTCCTTTCCCTTCTAATTTTTCGTACTGCAAGCTTCGCATTCGAAACAACGTTTTTTTAAATTCAAAGACATTAGTTAACGAATCACGACAGATTTGTATCAATAGAATATTTAAAGTTCTTTACTAATGCACCGACGAGATTCGAACTCGTGATCTCCTGTTTACTAGACAGGCGCTTTAACCGACTAAGCCACGGCGCCTGCGATCGACATGTATGTTGTGAGTCTGCTAATTATAAATAAAATGAATTGCTCCAGAAATAATTCAAAAGACGGTTCCTGAAATTTTATCAAAATTTGCATTCATAAACTATACTCTCCCTTCTAAGTTGTTTCGTATTCCACGCTTAGCATTAGGAACAATGTTTTTCTAAATTCAATGACATTAGTTAACGACCCCGACCGATTTGTATGAATACAAAGTTTAAAGTTCTTTACTAAGGCACCGACGAGATTCGAACTCGCGAATTTCTGTTTACAAGACAATCTCTTTAACCAACTGAGCCACGGCGCCTGCGAACTACATATATGTTAGGAATCTGCTAATCATAAATAAAGAGAATTGCTCCGAAAATAAATCAAAAGATGGTTGCTGAACTTTTCTCAAAACTTGTATTGATAAACTATACCCTCCCTTCTAAGTTATTCCGTAATGCAAGCCTAGCATTAGAAACAATATTTTTCTAAATACAATGACATGAGTGAAAAACCACCACTGATTTGTAACAATACAAAATTTAAAGCTAGTTAAGAAGGCACCGACGAGATTCGAACTCGTGATCTCCTGTTTACTGGACAGGCGCTTTAACCAACTTAGCCACGGCGCCTGCGAACTACATACTTGTTAGGAATCTGCTAATCATAAATAAAGAGAATTGCTCCGAAAATAAATCAAAAGATGGTTGCTGAACTTTTCTCAAAACTATACCCTCCCTTCTAAGTTATTTCGTAGTGCAAGCTTAGCATTAGAAACAATGTTTTTCTAAATACAATGACATGAGTGAACGAACCACCACTGATTTGTAACAATACAAAATTTAAAGCTATTTAAGAAGGCACCGACGAGATTCGAACTCGTGATCTCCTGTTTACTAGACAGGCGCTTTAACCAACTAAGCCACGGCGCCATCGAACTTTGTTCATGTTTTGCGTCAGATAATCTGAAATAAAGAGAATTGCTCGGAAAATATAATTCAAAAGAAATATTCCGAATTTTTCTCAAAAATTGTTTAGAAAAACTATCTTCTCCTTTCTAAGTTGTATCGTATTGCACGATAAGTATTGGAAAAAGTGTTCTTTTGAATACAATGGTATTTGCAAACGAAACACCACTAATTTGTGTCAATACTAAAATTAAAGCTCTTTAAGGAAAGGATGAGATTCAAACTCAAGATTTCCTGTGTACTTGACACGCGTCTTAACCAACTAAGACACGGCGCCTGCGATCAACATGCAGGTTGTGAGTCTGCTAATTATAAATAAAAAGAATTGCTCCAAAAATAATTCAAAAGAGGGTTTTAGAACTTTTCTGAAAAATTGCATTGATAAAGTGTCCTTTCCCTTCTAATTTTTTTTTCGTACTGCAAGCTTCGCATTCGAAACAACGTTTTTTTTTAAATTCAAAGACATTAGTTAACGAATCACGACAGATTTGTATCAATAGAATATTTAAAGTTCTTTACTAATGCACCGACGAGATTCGAACTCGTGATCTCCTGTTTACTAGACAGGCGCTTTAACCGACTAAGCCACGGCGCCTGCGATCGACATGTATGTTGTGAGTCTGCTAATTATAAATAAAATGAATTGCTCCAGAAATAATTCAAAAGACGGTTCCTGAAATTTTTTCAAAATTTGCATTCATAAACTATACTCTCCCTTCTAAGTTGTTTCGTATTCCACGCTTAGCATTAGGAACAATGTTTTTCTAAATTCAATGACATTAGTTAACGACCCCGACCGATTTGTATGAATACAAAGTTTAAAGTTCTTTACTAAGGCACCGACGAGATTCGAACTCGCGAATTTCTGTTTACAAGACAATCTCTTTAACCAACTGAGCCACGGCGCCTGCGAACTACATATATGTTAGGAATCTGCTAATCATAAATAAAGAGAATTGCTCCGAAAATAAATCAAAAGATGGTTGCTGAACTTTTCTCAAAACTATACCCTCCCTTCTAAGTTATTTCGTAGTGCAAGCTTAGCATTAGAAACAATGTTTTTCTAAATACAATGACATGAGTGAACGAACCACCACTGATTTGTAACAATACAAAATTTAAAGCTATTTAAGAAGGCACCGACGAGATTCGAACTCGTGATCTCCTGTTTACTAGACAGGCGCTTTAACCAACTAAGCCACGGCGCCATCGAACTTTGTTCATGTTTTGCGTCAGATAATCTGAAATAAAGAGAATTGCTCGGAAAATATAATTCAAAAGAAATATTCCGAATTTTTCTCAAAAATTGTTTAGAAAAACTATCTTCTCCTTTCTAAGTTGTATCGTATTGCACGATAAGTATTGGAAAAAGTGTTCTTTTGAATACAATGGTATTTGCAAACGAAACACCACTAATTTGTGTCAATACTAAAATTAAAGCTCTTTAAGGAAAGGATGAGATTCAAACTCAAGATTTCCTGTGTACTTGACACGCGTCTTAACCAACTAAGACACGGCGCCTGCGATCAACATGCAGGTTGTGAGTCTGCTAATTATAAATAAAAAGAATTGCTCCAAAAATAATTCAAAAGAGGGTTTTAGAACTTTTCTGAAAAATTGCATTGATAAAGTGTCCTTTCCTTCTAATTTTTCGTACTGCAAGCTTCGCATTCGAAACAACGTTTTTTTTTTTTTTTTAAATTCAAAGACATTAGTTAACGAATCACGACAGATTTGTATCAATACAATATTTAAAGTTCTTTACTAATGCACCGACGAGATTCGAACTCGTGATCTCCTGTTTACTAGACAGGCGCTTTAACCAACTAAGCCACGGCGCCTGCGATCAACATGTATGTTGTGAGTCTGCTAATTATAAATAAAATGAATTGCTCCAGAAATAATTCAAAAGACGGTTTCTGAAATTTTTCAAAATTTGCATTCATAAACTATACTCTCCCTTCTAAGTTGTTTCGTATTCCACGCTTAGCATTAGGAACAATGTTTTTCTAAATTCAATGACATTAGTTAACGACCACGACCGATTTGTATGAATACAAAGTTTAAAGTTCTTTACTAAGGCACCGACGAGATTCGAACTCGCGAATTTCTGTTTACAAGACAATCTCTTTAACCAACTGAGCCACGGCGCCTGCGAACTACATATATGTTAGGAATCTGCTAATCATAAATAAAGAGAATTGCTCGAAAATAAATCAAAAGATGGTTGCTGAACTTTTCTCAAAACTTGTATTGATAAACTATACCCTCCCTTCTAAGTTATTCCGTAATGCAAGCCTAGCATTAGAAACAATATTTTTCTAAATACAATGACATGAGTGAAAAACCACCACTGATTTGTAACAATACAAAATTTAAAGCTAGTTAAGAAGGCACCGACGAGATTCGAACTCGTGATCTCCTGTTTACTAGACAGGCGCTTTAACCAACTAAGCCACGGCGCCATCGAACTTTGTTCATGTTTTGCGTCAGATAATCTGTAATAAAGAGAATTGCTCGGAAAATATAATTCAAAAGAAATATTCGAATTTTCTCAAAAATTGTTTAGAAAAACTATCTTCTCCTTTCTAAGTTGTATCGTATTGCACGATAAGTATTGGAAAAAGTGTTCTTTTGAATACAATGGTATTTGCAAACGAAACACCACTAATTTGTGTCAATACTAAAATTAAAGCTCTTTAAGGAAAGGATGAGATTCAAACTCAAGATTTCCTGTGTACTTGACACGCGTCTTAACCAACTAAGACACGGCGCCTGCGATCAACATGCAGGTTGTGAGTCTGCTAATTATAAATAAAAAGAATTGCTCCAAAAATAATTCAAAAGAGGGTTTTAGAACTTTTCTGAAAAATTGCATTGATAAAGTGTCCTTTCCCTTCTAATTTTTTCGTACTGCAAGCTTCGCATTCGAAACAACGTTTTTTTTAAATTCAAAGACATTAGTTAACGAATCACGACAGATTTGTATCAATAGAATATTTAAAGTTCTTTACTAATGCACCGACGAGATTCGAACTCGTGATCTCCTGTTTACTAGACAGGCGCTTTAACCGACTAAGCCACGGCGCCCGCGATCGACATGTATGTTGTGAGTCTGCTAATTATAAATAAAATGAATTGCTCCAGAAATAATTCAAAAGACGGTTCCTGAATTTTTTTCAAAATATGCATTCATAAACTATACTCTCCCTTCTAAGTTGTTTCGTATTCCACGCTTAGCATTAGGAACAATGTTTTTCTAAATTCAATGACATTAGTTAACGACCCCGACCGATTTGTATGAATACAAAGTTTAAAGTTCTTTACTAAGGCACCGACGAGATTCGAACTCGCGAATTTCTGTTTACAAGACAATCTCTTTAACCAACTGAGCCACGGCGCCTGCGAACTACATATATGTTAGGAATCTGCTAATCATAAATAAAGAGAATTGCTCCGAAAATAAATAAAAAGATGGTTGCTGAACTTTTCTCAAAACTTGTATTGATAAACTATACCCTCCCTTCTAAGTTATTCCGTAATGCAAGCCTAGCATTAGAAACAATATTTTTCTAAATACAATGACATGAGTGAAAAACCACCACTGATTTGTAACAATACAAAATTTAAAGCTAGTTAAGAAGGCACCGACGAGATTCGAACTCGTGATCTCCTGTTTACTGGACAGGCGCTTTAACCAACTTAGCCACGGCGCCTGCGAACTACATACTTGTTAGGAATCTGCTAATCATAAATAAAGAGAATTGCTCGAAAATAAATCAAAAGATGGTTGCTGAACTTTTCTCAAAACTATACCCTCCCTTCTAAGTTATTTCGTAGTGCAAACTTCATTAATGCAACAATGTTTTTCTAAATACAATGACATGAGTGAACGAACCACCACTGATTTGTAACAATACAAAATTTAAAGCTATTTAAGAAGGCACCGACGAGATTCGAACTCGTGATCTCCTGTTTACTAGACAGGCGCTTTAACCAACTAAGCCACGGCGCCATCGAACTTTGTTCATGTTTTGCGTCAGATAATCTGTAATAAAGAGAATTGCTCGGAAAATATAATTCAAAAGAAATATTCGAATTTTTCTCAAAAATTGTTTAGAAAAACTATCTTCTCCTTTCTAAGTTGTATCGTATTGCACGATAAGTATTGGAAAAAGTGTTCTTTTGAATACAATGGTATTTGCAAACGAAACACCACTAATTTGTGTCAATACTAAAATTAAAGCTCTTTAAGGAAAGGATGAGATTCAAACTCAAGATTTCCTGTGTACTTGACACACGCGTCTTAACCAACTAAGACACGGCGCCTGCGATCAACATGCAGGTTGTGAGTCTGCTAATTATAAATAAAAAGAATTGCTCAAAAATAATTCAAAAGGGGGTTTTAGAACTTTTCTGAAAAATTGCATTGATAAAGTGTCCTTTCCCTTCTAATTTTTTCGTACTGCAAGCTTCGCATTCGAAACAACGTTTTTTTAAATTCAAAGACATTAGTTAACGAATCACGACAGATTTGTATCAATAGAATATTTAAAGTTCTTTACTAATGATGCATTCATAAACTATTCATAAACTCTCCCTTCTAAGTTGTTTTTCGTATTCCACGCTTAGCATTAGGAACAATGTTTTTCTAAATTCAATGACATTAGTTAACGAACCACGACCGATTTGTATGAATACAAAGTTTAAAGTTCTTTACTAAGGCACCGACGAGATTCGAACTCGCGAATTTTTGTTTACAAGACAATCTCTTTAACCAACTGAGCCACGGCGCCTGCGAACTACATATATGTTAGGAATCTGCTAATCATAAATAAAGAGAAATTGCCCGAAAATAAATCAAAAGATGGTTGCTGAACTTTTCAAAACTTGTATTGATAAACTATACCCTCCTTCTAAGTTATTCCGTAATGCAAGCCTAGCATTAGAAACAATATTTTTCTAAATACAATGACATGAATGAAAAACCACCACTGATTTGTAACAATACAAAAATTTAATGCTAGTTAAGAAGGCACCGACGAGATTCGAACTCGTGATCTCCTGTTTACTAGACAG